ATAACTAACATACTAGTGAGTGGTTAAAGAAATATGTAACCAACATACTAGTGAACAATTACATATATATATATATATAACATACTAGTGAGTGGTTAAAGAAATATGTAACCAACATACTAGTGAACAATTACACATATATATATATAACTAACATACTAGTGAGTGGTTAAAGAAATATGTAACCAACATACTAGTGAACAATTACTTATATATATATATAACTAACATACTAGTGAGTGGTTAAAGAAATATGTAACCAACATACTAGTGAACAATTACACACATATATATATAACTAACATACTAGTGAGTGGTTAAAGAAATATGTAACCAACATACTAGTGAACAGTTACACAGATATATAACTAACAATGTGAATAATGACACAAACATTAATTGAATTGAATTTTATGGAAGCAAATATCTTTGATTTGTTTAGCTAAAATATTGACCAGTCTTTAACCTCATTTTTGTTGCTTTTATAAAATATTGGCAACTTTTCACCCTTACTTTTGTTGCTTTGCTAAAATATTGGACAGTTTTCAACCTTCGTTCCATTGGTATCTATATAAAGGCCATTGTGTGTCCCGTCATGCTTAATTTTTTCGAAATAGGAGGAGTCATAAAAGCCAAAATGCATTTATCCAGATAGGATAGTTCGATTATTGTCTGCCCATTACGATTTTAATGACCCTGAAACCTTATAAGTGTAGTGAGTGTTGGTATAATAAGCCTAAAATAAAAACGTAGTGTGGGATCTTCTAGCCTAGAGCCAAGTGCATAAGATTTATCATGAAAGTAAAAATATCGATTCAATTTTAATTCATTTCTGAATTAAGTTATTTTCTTATATCACTAACGTTTTAAATAAGAACAAACCTCTTTAATCAACGAAGACTCTAAATTAAGAAATCAAGAAATATTTTTTCCAGTTTTTTTTTCTATACATTTAATTTTATACTTTCAATTCATAAACTAACAACAACATTGGGTTTTATTTTTATTTTTTGTTGCTAAGCAACATGACACAAAAGCCATTCTTGGAACGCACTGTTATCAAAACGAACTGTTAATCTGAGTGATTTTTTACCAACAATTATTCTGTGAATACGCCAAGAATTCATTTCGTGAATGATCTTAATTTTGATTGGCTCACAAAGAAACTTACCGACGTTTGATTGCCTCTACTGGATCATTTTCCCTCTGCATTGGTCAAGCTTGATTTCGCAAAATTTATCTATTTCAGTTAGCTATGAAATCTGAAGTTAGGGTAGTTATAGGAGGTAGTACTTGCCCCGTCATTTTTGACGGGCTATACGCTATTACTAAAATATTACTTTGCTAAAATATTAGCCAGTCTTCAACCTCGCTTTCACTGCTTTTCAATATTATTCTGAGGATTAAATCGCTTACTGAAGCAGGCCTTTGTACAGACTATTAGTTGTAGTATTTTTAGTATTATTCTGAGGATTAAATCGCTTACTGAAGCAGGCCTTTGTACAGATTATTAGTGGTAGTATTTTTAGTATTATTCTGAGGATTAAATCGCTTACTGAAGCAGGCCTTTGAACAGATTATTAGTGGTAGTATTTTCAGTATTATTCTGAGAATTAAATCGCTTACTGAAATTGGTGACTATTAAATTTTGGAAAGGTTAAAACTGATTTAAAGTATTGAATATTTTGAAAGATAATTTATTTAATTAGGGTTGGCGGTTGATGATAATACTATAAAAATTGATCAATTTGCTTTCCATAAGTATAAGCGATCGATCCATTTTTTTTAACATGTAAAGGGACGCATTTTTCGGGTGTAATTTAAATAAAAATATTGTTCTTATACATCAGTAAAATACTATGCTGTCTGTGTGCTAATGATGTGTATGTAATTTAAATAAAAATCTTGTGCTTATACATCATTAAGATATTATGCTGTACATATGCTAATGATATGTGCGTGGTTTAAATAAACGATGATTTGAATCAACTTTTGTAAATGAATGTTTAATTTTATTCTCGAACAAAAATAGCAAATCTATAAAACGCTGATCAGGGTGTAGCCTGTTGGTTAACTGAATATCTAAGGTTCGCTCAACACTTTGGGGCCGTGGGTGCATTATAAGAGTGACAGTAAAAACCCAATATTCAATCATACAAGCGTTGGCAGTGGGGGCTGTAGACTAACTGCTTTCCCTCTGTCAGGTCAAAATTATAAATGGCTATGCGCGGGTAGCCTCTGTGTAGCTCTGCGCAAAATTCTGAAATAAACTATAAAACGTAAGGAGTTTTAAATCGTCTTTAACTGGATCTTAGCTTTATGTTTGAATAGTTTGTACTTTAAACTTTCAGACTTAAATTAACTGGATTTTAGCTTTATGTTTTTTAAGTCTGAAAGCTTAAAGTACAAACTATTCAAACATTAAGTTAAAAACGAGTCATTTTAAATCTGAAAGTTTAAAGTACAAACTATTAAATGACCATGGGGAAAAATGTATTTCACGTGAAACTGTCATTGTTTCTGCATTTGTTCCACTTTTGACAAATAAAAAATGATGGCTTTGTATCACAGATCTACGTGGCAGGTTTTAAATGATGAAAAGTACATAACTAGAAACTGCTGTGGGTTAACCCTTTACTGGAAAAGACCTCGTATGAGATGTAGAATATCTCTGATGCTACCAAAAGGGACCTTCCGCACATGTTTAAAATATTTTCTTCTTCTTGAGTTTCACTAGCAGTTTTATTTCAAAATTGAACTTTTTTGTCGGACTTGCCTGAACAGGTTTAGTTTCAATAAAGTATTTATTTCCACGATTTTTCATAACCTTGTTGATTTGTTTTGTATTTTTTATTTTAGTTATTTTTCTGTTATTATTGGAAAGTCTTTAGCGCCCCTATATTTAATACATATATATAAGTGACGAAAACTATACCCGATGAAATAATATGAGGCCTATAAGTAAAGGTAAAGAATAGTTTTTATCGAGTCGGTCAAAAAATTGTATATTTTAAAATACCTTTGGACTGAATTCATATCTGTTAGAATCATGTCATTCGAAATAATAATAGTATTTTTAAATATTCATTTATAATCAAGTAAAGTTGTGATAAGAATTTAGAAAGAAGATAGGTTCGCTATGATAATAAGCTATATTAAAACAATTAGGCCTAACTTGTGACATGACAATGAATTTTTGTGAAAAGACTCCTACTATTTAGCAAATGAAGCATGGATCTCAGTTTTTGAATACGTTCTAAGTTAAATATCTTTGTTTTATTAAACCAGCTTTTTTATATTTATATAGTTTAGACCAATCTTTTAGTGAGCCTTTTTTTTTAATTTGATGTACCGAATACCGATATTTGGCTGTAATTGCTCCGGAGTTATTTTTATACTGTGACAGAAAATGCCAACCGCCATTTTTTGTTACTAGCGAAAAATGCATTGTGAGCCAGCTCATAAAAAGTATAAAATAGTGATGATTTATAAATATTTGAGGATATATATATATATGTTATGTAATAAAAACACAATAACACTATCTCGGTTTGAAACGCTCTGAATGTTTTTATTTATTTATTTATTTCTAGCTAATGAAAACAATACAAGAAGACACTTAAAATAAAAATACAATCTATGAAATTCCATAAATCCTAATGAGCATAATCAATTTCATTCCACTCGGCCATATTGGATTTGTTTGTGTTTTCTTTGTTTTGTTATTGTTATTGTGGTTGAGGTTTTTGTTTTTCTGTTACTTTGATTTTCTTCTCACCCACCCCAAATGCATCTAATTCAATCAGTCGTTTATTTGAGAATGTTCAGCCAAACATTTAAGTTAACTGTATTGAAACAGGCGACTTTCATGAGCTGAATACGCGGTGTAGTTCATTTAAATAATTGATCACAAATACTTTTTATGTTTTATGCCTTTTTTTACTACATTCTATAATCTAGTGTTTCATACTTTTTCTGGTGATTAAAATCACACAAAAAATTATTATTAAACTTCTTTATCAAGAGTAGAGTCTAAGTTAATATATAGTTAGCTAGTTAACCAGTGGTCCTTTGAAAGATTGAAAGAATCAAAACAGGTTGTTTTTTCTTTTGTTTTTTAAGATATTAAGACATCGCTTAATGACAAGCAGGACAAGTAGTGTTAATTAAATTTACACAGGGGACCTTCTGCTTTTTCTCCTTAAATACACGCAACGTCTTAAGCTGTCATCCAATCCTAATATTCAGAGTTTTTAAACTGCACATAGTGGTACTTGTTTTTATATCTAGAATAAAACCCATTAATTTTTAAGATAATAATACTTTCAACTTAGTGCCTGTGATTTGCTGGCGAACTGTGTTTGGCTGTCGTCTTTGGCTAAGGCCACGTAACTGCGAGTTTCTTACAGCTGTTAAAAGCCGTATCTTCAAAGATTCAGAATATCTGAGTGACTAAACTGTGTTTGGTATCCATAGTAGGGCCCGAATAATGAGAAGACAAACCTGAAGAAGGGCTAAGAAGAACTGAATAGGGACTAGTTGGGCACGAGATAGGCGGAGCCAATGTGTGGGCGGGACTGACTGCTGTCCGTAATGAGCACGAGCCGGAGGAGGCGGGCCACCTTGTTTCATCATCCTCCTTGTCCTTACCTAAAGTAAAACGGCGAGAGAAAAAGATCCATGTTAGTTGTAGGGTAGGCACGGCTAATAACCATTAGTTTCATTAAAACTAAGCAGTAAGACGCCAGGAAACACATTTTCCCATTTTCAGAATGAATCCCCAGCGCTGTTTAATACTACAGAGCAGCCTCAGAGGTCCCCCCCCGACCTGTCGCTCCCTTTTAACGTAACGCAAAGTGTCTCGTGCATCGATTTCTGCAGCTGATCGAAGACAGATTGCGGTTGTTTGCTGGTGAGAGAAGCCAGGGTCTGCCGTAGACCATCTACTAACCAGTTCTATATCTGCAAACATGTCTTTCAAACGGCCTGGCTTATTGAATAAACGTCAGCGTGCTACAGTAGAATAAAAAATTTAACGTGCCAGGGGGATACGGAAGGAAAAGCTCACACATCCTGGTAAAACAACAAACAAGCAAAAATAAAAATGAAATAAAGTATAGTTTTAAAAGAGAGAGTGGTGCAGTATGGGAATACCCATGTCCATGGCTAGGCTTGTGTAACGTCGATGCACAAATTGATGAGCTCTGATATTAGGCGAAATGTCTCTTCGGCACTGGATATGGCATAAATATAATATGGTTGGCATATTATTCTTTGCATTCACGCATAAGTCTTCAAACTATTGCTTATTAAAGCCTATTTGCTCATATTTTCAAACGGATATTTATAACCATTTGAAACAAATGTGAAACAGGTTTTTACGTGTTTTAGGATTAAACAGAGAATATAAGGAACATCCATAATGTGATGAAACATTAGTAGTTAAACTTCTTAACAGCTTAACTCGTGGTAATATTTAAACACTATTAATACTAGAAATAAACGACCTTATAACACCAAAATGTACACTGGTAGTCATGGGACTTGAAACAGATCTGGTGACGTCTTCAGTTCATTGTGTAAAGTACGTGTACACTGGTAGTCATGGGACTTGAAACAGATCTGGTGACGTCTTCAGTTCATTGTGTAAGCTACGTGTACAGTGGTAGTAGTCATGGAACTTGAAACAGATCTGATGACGTCTTCAGTTCATTGTGTAAGCTACGTGTACAGTGGTAGTCATGGAACTTGAAACAGATCTGGTGACGTCTTCAGTTCATTGTCTAAGCTACGTGTACACTGGTAGTCACGGAACTTGAAACAGATCTGATGACGTCTTCAGTTCATTGTCTAAGCTACGTGTACACTGGTAGTAGTCATGGAACTTGAAACAGATCTGGTGACGTCTTCAGTTCATTGTCTAAGCTACGTGTACACTGGTAGTAGTCATGGGACTTGAAACAGATCTGATGACGTCTTCAGTTCTTTGTGTAAGGTACGTGTACAGTGGTAGTCACATGTTTTGCTTGTGAGAAGGCTTGGGCAGAAGAAAGTATACTTGAAAGACGTTATTAATGAACGATGCATCTGTCTAGATAGTTTTCGACAACGTTTCGAACTGCTTGCGCGGATGACCTAATGCGGATGTGCTCTAACAGCTCGAAACGTTGTCGAAAACTTCCTAAACAGGCGCATTGTTCATGATTACCAACGTCTTTCAAGTAAATAAATAGTATATTAATATCAGTAACAGCATTCTCGTTGTTAGTCTTATTAATTATGACATTTGCAATGCTAGAACTACTGTTTGTAAATGCCAGTAGATAAACCGTATTTAAACCAATATAAATGGTCTTGAAGTGAACGTACTGCAATCCAAGAGGTATAAATACGTAGATACGGGGGTTTGAAATACGTATTTCTCTACGTATAAAACCCTACAAGCCCTGAAAAAATAGGGAGGGGGTTAGAAAGTAACATCCCTACATAATGAGTAGTTTCTGGAAACGTGAAAAAACATATTTATCCCTTCCTCAATCACCCCTAAATATAAGGGGTGATCAGCCCAATAAACCTTCCCTCAGTATATAGGTTAATAGATATAAGCATTGCGAAAACTTTTGTGAGAGAATGAACATAATACAAATCAATTATAGGGATTGATTGTAAAACCAAAGTTTTACAGTAACTAACGATTCATGGGGGGTACGAGAGAACCTTTGAAAAACACGAACAAAATAAACCCCACTTCTCGAGATTGGAGGGCAGTCTTGATAAGTTACCAACGTATTCCACTAGTTAGCCTCCAACGTTTACTTACTCTTGAATTATTATCTTTTGATTAATGTAACCCACTCTTAAGTTGTTTTTTATAACAGTTTTGTGCGTCAGAGATACGCGACATAAAAAGATTGGGAACCAGTGCTCTAAGCTATAACATCCATTCTCTACTCTTAGTGATGTACCTGTTTTTGGCACGGATAGCTTACTGTGATGTACCTGTTTTTGGCACGGATAGCTTACTGTGATGTACCTGTTTTTGACACGGATAGCTTACTGTGATGTACCTGTTTTTGACAGTAAGCTATCCGTGTCAAAACAGGTACATCACAGTAAGCTATCTCTGCCAAAAACAGGTACATCACAGTAAGCTATCCTGTTAAAAACAGGTACATCACAATAAGCTATCCGTGTCAAAAACAGGTACATCACAGTAAGCTATCTCTGCCAAAAACAGGTACATCACAGTAAGCTATCCATGTCAAAAACAGGTACATCACAGTAAGCTATCTCTGTTAAAAACAGGTACATCACAGTAAGATATCCCTGTCAAAAACACGTACATCACAGTAAGCTATCTCTGTTAGAAAAAAGGTACATCACAGTAAACTATCTCTGTTAAAAAAAGTTACATCAAGGTAATCTATCCATGACCTGTACACAAACACGTAACTTTAAAACTTGTTTTTAACTTTAAATCCTCGTCTGATTTTATTTAATTAATTTTTTCTTTAAGTTATTTGCATTAGTCAATTTCAGTTTCAAACCAAAATATTTTAACATTCTTTAACTGATACCAGTTTCAACCATAAGGACTGACTATGGATAACCTTCCAGTAGTGACGTACACTAGCCACCAGGTCTGTTTTAGTAGGGATATGTAGCGATGTCTATCACCGTAACACACAAAACCAACCATTTCCCAATTCCGTTCAGCCTAGCATAGCCTGGTGGTTAGGGCACTCTATTTGCAATCTGAGTTCAAATACCACCATCAAACGTGCTCGCCCTTCCAGCCGTAGGGACGTCATAACGCGACGATCATTCCCACTTTTTGTCAGTAAAATAGTAGCTCAAAAGTTGGCGGTGAGTGGTGTTGACTAGCTGCCTTTTCTCTTCTGAGTCTAGTCTATCACTTCTAAATTAGGGACGGTTAGAGCAGATAACCCTCGAGTAACTTTGTGTGAAGTTCAATAAACGAACTTCTGGTGATGAAAACTGACATTAGATTGAAGATGTTTTACTTGTTTGTAGCCCCCCAGTGGTACATCGGTTTGTCTACGGAGTTCCAGCGCTAGAAACCAGGTTTTGATACACGTGGTGGGCAGAGCACAGATAGCCCATTCTGTAGCTTTGCGCTGAACTTCAGAACAAACAAACAAATACTTGTGTGTAACTTAAAATATATAAGTTATGAACATTAAAGTTAGGTGGTTCATGTAGCTGATTATAGCGAATTAAAATTTGTATCGAATCCAGTATCAAAACAACGTCTTAAAGAAGTGATTGTTGATTTTCAACAGTAGCCTTATAAGAATTAATACACGTCATATAGAATTACAGTTTGAGAGAAGCTTACACAAGATTCTCGTTACCTACATTTTGAGTGTGGGCGTAACCTATTGGTTGTCAGTGGATCGGAAAATCCAAGGTTCAGACCGCGATATGTTGCTAAACGAGTTCCGTCCTTTCAACTGTGGGGGGGCGTTGTAATCATGTTAGAAAACCCCGCTATATGGTTAAGAGTAATCTTGTAGACGGCGGATACTGCTACTAGTTGCTTTCCTTCTGATCAGCAGACTTAAAATAGGGGTGACTATATGCCCGAGGATGATATTTTCTTTTTTAAAGATTAAATCGCAATGAAAATGGGGTACCTCGGTGTGACTACTAGTTAAAATTTGTATTAAACCATTGGGGTAGGGATCCTCAGTCTGAGTTCTTTGGGGCCTCAAGGTAAGAAGTTTGGGAACCTCTGAAGATGTCGTTCAGATTGAGGATACTAAAATTGTCTCGACAATGAAGATGATCTAAGTGGTCTAAGTAACAACACTTACCATCAAGTGGATTTCGATGATCTAAGTGGTCTAAGTAACAACACTTACCATCAAGTAGATTCCGATGATCTAAGTGGTCCAAGTAACAACACTTACCATCAAGTGGACTCCGATGATCTAAGTGGTCTAAGTAACGACACTTACCACCAAGTGGACTCCGATGATCTAAGTGGTCTAAGTAACAACACTTACCATCAAGTGGACTCCGATGATCTAAGTGGTCTAAGTAACAACACTTACCATCAAGTAGATTCCTATGATCTAAGTGGTCTAAGTAACAACACTTACCATCAAGTGGACTCCGATGATCTAAGTGGTCTAAGTAACAGCACTTACCATCAAGTGGACTCCGATCCGGAGAATCCAGAATCAAGGAAGATACACCTTTACACGTTGCTTTTAACGCCATATTGTTTTTGTTGTTGACTTCTTTGATACTAGGTGGTGCATTGTCGGCCACTGTATCACCTGTCGTTCCATCTTTGGAATTACCCGTGTTTAACTTGTTGTTCGTTGTGGTATGGGGTGATTGTTTTTGTTGTTTCAGACGTTCTTGTTTCCGGAACTTGGCTCTTCGATTCTGGAACCATACCTGGAGTAGAAACAAGATACTGTGGATAAATTACGACACGTGAATGGATCTGGTCCATATATATGTGTGTATTTGTGTATATATATATTATGTATTCACTGTTGGAAGAACCTCTCTGAATCTCCACTAGGGGATATGGTACAGTGTTACTTAAGATTTTGGTAGATGTGCTAATAAAAAAAAACCTGGAAGGATTTCTCTTAGAAACTACTGAACTGTATGCCCAGAAACGTGGTCTAGTGATTAGTGTCATTTCTGGCTGCGGATCGAGAGGTCTGGGGTTCGAGACTTGATGCCACACTCCGTACTTTCAATTTCAGTGCAGCCAATCCCTTTTATTTGGGTTATTAAGCTGGATAAAACCCTTGAGGTGGCGGGTCCTTCTCTCTGGCTGCCTTCTCTCTGGTCAGTTGTACAAAATAAGAATGGCTACACCTGATGTATAAGTTAAACGACTATTATTAGAAGGGTTTATATTGGGATTTTACAAAGTTAGACACTATCTTGGAATATCAGTACTTATTTTAAAGGTTTCACCACCATCCTGCGGTCTAAGAATAAATTATTGTGTAAACTACGTGTACAGTGGTAGTCATGGGACTTGAAACAGATCTGATGACGTTTTCAGTTCAGCTATGTGTAAACTGGTAGTCATGGAACTTGAAACAGTTCTGATGTCGTTTTCAGTTCATTGTGTAAGCTACGTGTACACTGGTAGTCATGGAACTTGAAACAGCTCTGATGTCGTTTTCAGTTCATTGTGTAAGCTACGTGTACACTGGTAGTCATGGAACTTGAAACAGATCTGATGACGTTTTCAGTTCATCGTGTAAGCTACGTGTACACTGGTAGTCATGGAACTTGAAACAGTTCTGATGTCGTTTTCAGTTCATTGTGTAAGCTACGTGTACACTGGTAGTCACGGAACTTAAAACAGACTTGATGACGTCAACACCGCTTGCCATTAATATAAGCTAACGTAATAACATTTTTAAAAATTATATTTCGTTCTCTATACTCACCCCTCAGATTTGAGACGTGTGGTGAATATAAGAACTTCATTTGCTTGTCAGACACTTTTCTCTTACTTGGAAGGTTAGTATTTACCGAGGTAGAACACTCAACGTTCATTTAGGCTTCTTTATATGAATCATCAGTTACAAAGAAAGTTATGTTAAACTTTTGAATGAAAGCTCACGTCATAAATCCAGATTATATTTTTATTTTTCGTGACACCATTTTGGATTACACGTAGTTTAAAATTTTTTCGTGACGGTTTTTTTTTCTCTCTTGTTCTTCAAATTAAACTTACTATTCTTCATCGAAAGTGTTTGATTAAAGAATGTTGACACTTTTACCAAGCGAGCAGTTTCTATATGGAAGACCACACACACACGCGCGCTCACGCTCTAACTTCTGCTACCAGGTACAGCCCTGACAACAAGCCCCAGCCAAATCCACTGTTTACACGTCAATTGAGTCCGCTCGAGCTACCATCGCTCGAGGCCTGGGTTAGCTTCTCCTATTCGCCCAACAAACGTCAGTATCGACTGGGAGCTCTAATTGGCTGTAATCTAATTATGTAATCGAATCTGACTATGGTCAAAGATCAGACACAGAAGACCAACTAGTATCCCTTGGGTAAAAATGTGTGTGTGTGTGTGTGTTTAGAGAAAAAGTAACTTACTGGAAGATGTGAAACAATTGAAACTTTAACTTGAAAAGCCTGGTAATTTAATATCTGTTGTAATATTTTTTTTCTTTCTCCTTTAAGAGGTAAATATCTGTTGCAGCATTTAAGTTATAATGGCCGAATAAGCTAGCAGTTTCAACAGCAATACGTAAATATTGAGAAATTCGAAATTATTTCCTACCCTCTGCTGCTAAAACAAGACTTTATCTGGTCTGCGTCAGGCTTAGATGTCAAGTGTTTGTCTGACCGATTTTTGTTTGTACACCTTCAGTCTGCCATATTTGGGAGAAAGATATTTTACAGTTAAAAAGCTCAATAGATCAAGAAACTACACGGTACTGTAAGAAACTACACGGTACTGTAAGAAACTACATGGTACTGCAAGAAACTACACGGTACTGGAAGAAACTACATGGTACTGCAATAAACTACATAGTACTGCAAGAAAATACACGGTACTAAAACTACATGGTACTGTAAGAAACTACATGGTACTGCAATAAACTACATAGTACTGTAAGAAACTACACGATACTGAAACTACATGGTACTGGAAGAAACTACACGGTACTGCAATAAACTACATAGTACTGTAAGAAACTACACGATACTGAAACTACATGGTACTGTAAGAAACTACATGGTACTGCAATAAACTACACGATACTGAAACTACATGGTACTGTAAGAAACTACATGGTACTGCAATAAACTACATAGTACTGCAAGAAAATACACGGTACTAAAACTACATGGTACTGTAAGAAACTACATGGTACTGCAATAAACTACATAGTACTGTAAGAAACTACACGATACTGAAACTACATGGTACTGGAAGAAACTACACGGTACTGAAACTACATGGTACTGCACATCAGCAAGAAAAGCAATTCGTAAAAACATAGTAATTATGTCTTATTTAGTCCTCACAGCCTTGATATCTTATAGGAATTATGTCTTATTTAGTCCTCACAGCCTTGATATCTTATAGGAATTATGTCTTATTTAGTCCTCACAGCCTTGATATCTTATAGGATTATGTCTTATTTAGTCCTCACAGCCTTGATATCTTATAGGGATTATGTCTTATTTAGTCCTCACAGCCTTGATATCTTATAGGGATTATGTCTTATTTAGTCCTCACAGCCTTGATATCTTATAGGGATTATGTCTTATTTAGTCCTCACAGCCTTGATATCTTATAGGGATTATGTCTTATTTAGATCCCACAACATCGTTTTCTTTTAGGCAATATTTATGCCCGAACTAAATAAAACAAATACTAATAAGGTGAACAGATACATTACTCGCGTCAATTTTTAAACTACTACGTTACAAGCATGGTAACTGTGATGATAAAGAAATACTGCGAATCAATAATACGTATGCTATGAACTTACAACTTATAATTAGATTTAAAACACAGTTAATTATAACAGCAGCAACAAGCTAGTTTAAAGAACACGTTTTAAAATATTATTACTGACATAAAACATGATCATGAATGTAAATCGTAAACCGTATTTTGAAAGACAATTAGACCTTTAGCATTACAGTCGGTTCTTGTAGCGTGAAATTTATATTTAATAAAAGTATCTCAGTGAGACTAATAATCTGAAAATAACAAAGTCTAGTCAATTAACAAACTTCTCTGCGCTAGTTGTTAGGTTTCATGTGAAGAAACATGAAAACATATTTGTTCCGCGTAGTGTAAGAGAAAGGTTTGTTAAATTAGGCTATCTGATCTCACCACCGGGGATCGAACCCCCGGATTTCAGCGTTGCAAAGACCGAAGTCTCACCAGGAGACGTGTAAGAGAAAGGTTTGTTAAATTAGGCTATCTGCTCTCTTCTGTTCACCGCCGAGGATCGAACCCCGGATTTCAGCGTTGCAAAAAAAACAACGAAGTCTCACCAGGAGACGTGTAAGAGAAACTTCTAATTTCTCAATTCACCTTTGAAAGTCGCGTTTTCTTTAATTTCCCGCGATATTTTCATTAGCTACACCCACAGGTCAGCGGACAGTGCATGTTTTAACATAACAATATTATTTGAGTTTTGCAGACTGTTGGTTTCGCTAGTGGACAGTTGTTCTGAACCAGAGCGGCCTTTATCCGATCTTTTGGTATTTTCAACCTCAATCGTATCTCATGCGACACGTGGATTTAAACAGTTAGGTTAAGCATAGCTATCTCCTAATTTGGTATTGTTGACCAGGGATAGAAAAAATCGGTAGGCATCGCAGGTCATCTGTGCGACTACTCTTAAGCGAATAACGAGACTGACTGTCACAGCTGTAACACCTCCACAGCTGAAAGTGCAAAGCATGTTCATCGGCTCGAACATTGGACTTTCCGTCCGCAGCCGTGTACGCTAACTACTAAACCACACCTGGCCCTTTTTTTATTTATGATTTTAATACAAATAATAACGGTAAAATTATGAAATCGGATAACTCTAATGACAGCTTAAAGTTCGTTTATGAATTTGGCTATTTTTCTTGAATGAATTACTACATCATGGTTACCGAAAACTTTAGGCCTTGCCTCGATCGTTTATTTCTAAAATATATGAAAAAGAATAATAATTATTAATTAGTGATCGCTACTCGATAGCGTTAGAAATGACTAATAATTTTGGTGAATCTAATTGGCCAACTGAAAAATAAAAAATTAAGTACACGACGTCATAAAGTAGATTCTAAGTGGCCCGATTTAGGTGTAGTGGTGAAAAAAATAAGTATTTAGGTATTATGATAAATGGTGGTTTTTAGATGTGATACTAATGTTATTTGTTTTTGGTTTAGGGTTAGAAGTTGTTGTTTGAAGTCAAGCACAAAGCTACACAGTGGGCTATCTGTGCTCTGCCCACCACGAGTATCGAAACTCGGTTTCTAGCATTGTAAGTCTGCAGACATACTGCTGTGCCACTGGGGAGGGGGCTAGGGTTACAAACCTAATATTAAATAACTAAGAATAGTACTTAATACGGAACTGCTTCCTAATTAACGCCCCTGGGGGCGTTGTAAACTGCAAAGGGAGGGCACTAATTATATTACTTGTGCTGTTCCGGATTCTATTTTTCACATGTGATTTATTGATTTCAATGCTAATAACTGTGTATTTGATTTTGTTTTTATTCTTTTTTTTTCAAGCCAAAATTAAAAATAAAAGTGGATTATATGTTGGATTACCATTGCTGTCACACAAGGTAGGCCCGGCATGACCAGGTGGTTAGGGCCCCGGCATGGCCAGGTGGTTAGGGCGCTCGACTCGCAGTCTGAGGGTCGCGGGTTCGAATCCCAG